TTGACTAGTCAAAATCAAAGTCAAATAAGGACTTAAATGAAGTAAATCATTTTAGTGGGACTTGAATTGACCAAATTATTTTTTGAGAGTTTATTTTACAAATTGACAATATTTAAAGGTTTAAGATGGATAAAATTTAATTTTGAGGATCTAATTATATAGTATTGAAAGATGAGGATTTAATGTGGTTTTATATGAAGGTTGGAGGACTTGTTTTGCAATTATGAGTTAGTACCACTAAATATTAAATAAATAGCCACTTGTTTCATTTTGAGATAGATACAAAAATGAAAAACGGCCAGAGAAGCTGAGAGAAGGAGAGAAGAATTGAGAAGGAGGTAGAGAAGGAAACAAGATAGAGAGAAAGAAAAGGGCAAAAAAAAGGTGGAAAAAGAAAAGGAAAAATGTGTTATTGAAGAAGATGATATATGGACTCAAATATAAGGTTCATCCTTTCTTCTATTCTATTCCAAGAGGTAAGAAAAACTTATTGTTATTCAATATTGTTAGATTTGGGTTTGTAGTTAGTGGCCTAACTTAAATTTGGAGGAAAGAATAGATATTGGAGTTGAATATATGTTAAAGGAATATGAAATGGGTTTGTAAATTAAAGCATAAATCTTTATATTTATAGTGTATATGATACAAAACAATTGATTTATGAGGTATTACAATGAAATATGGAGTTGAGGTTGGATTTTGGTATTTTTCTTAACTAATTTTCGGGCAAAATGAATGCATAGTGCTATTTTTGAAATTCTGCCCAGAAAGTGTCATTTCTGTCAATAGTTTTGGTGGCAGATTTCAATACACAGGGATTGGTGCCATATTTCTATATTTGGAATTTTAGTGCCATTTTTGTCAAACCTTGGATTTCCAAATTTTTAAAGGCTTGAATGAAGTTATATGACAAGTATTGAGGTTTATGTATTGGAATAAATTATGTATATGGCTTGTATATGTATAAGTGATGGATTTTAAGGAACTGTGGGTAATTTAATAGATTTGATAATGCATGGTGTTTAGTTGATGAATTAATAATGAGAATAAAAGTTGAGGATTGGAGATGTAAGAGTAAATATAGAAGTTGAGGAGTTAAGTAGTGGAATTGTATTAATTTAATTGTAATGTTTTAATTTGAGTAATTGTACTGTTATTTCAGGTAGTGACGTGAAAGTTTGGAAAAACTTGTCAATTTAGCCAGATCTTTATTTATAAATCTGTGAGTGGAAAAATATAAATATTTTTAAAATATTTATAAATTAAGTATATTGTCAAAGTACGTGCAATTATATGCAATTATGTGTTCGATTACATGATTATTTTGGAAAAATCTCTTTCATTATGATATTTGTGGAACTCAAAGATTAGATATGAAAATATTTGTGATGTGAAATGTGAGACATGTGATATTGAGATCGACCAGAAAGTACCCATGATTATATACTTTTTCTAGTTCATAGAGGGGCATTGGCCGTGTTCTATCATACACGGAGGGTCTTGACCAGACATTGGTCTTGATCGTGTACATATAGTTCATAGAGGGGCCTTGACTGTGTTCTAGAATTGATTATGAGAGGTCTTTGAGACCGACTTTCGTTCACGGAGGGGGCCAAAGGCCCGTGGCGAAAGTTCTTAACCCGAGGGGCGGATTACAGATTTTAGTCAGAGGGTACATTTGTGGTGGATCACATGTAATGTGATGAGATGATAGTATAAATATCAGCTGATGACTATATCGTGGATATGAGATGATATTTACAGAGTTGTGAGAATGTCTCACTTTTTGTCTATATTCGTATGAGGCTATCATGTGAAGTATTAAATGATATCAAATTACCCAGGGCACATCTCCAAGTGTTAAAAGGGAAGGGTGGAGAAATTCAGCTTTGCTTGAGGCTGCCGCGTCAAGGGTTCGAATCTTGAAATATGGATTTGGCTCTTGGGTAAGTGCAAGTGTACAAGCAGCCTTCCACCCTATACCTTTGGAGGCATAACCTGCGATTTACCTCTCTCACGATACTCCAGAACAGGGGCGGTGGGGGACCCTTAAGGTTAAGGTTCAACCATTAAGAAGGACACGATGTTTCTTGGAAAAAAAATTAATTCAAATAAATTAACAAAAGTTTAGTTAAAACATATACTGATCTAATGTAGAAGAATTGGAACTTATATATATAAAGATACCAAGAATGCCAAAAAGGCAAGCCATGTGAGAAGCAATTACAAGAGCCACATTGCTACAAAAACTGTCTTTTGCAACGTTCAAAAAAATGTTGTTGGTCATATTTTGCAACTTTTGATCGCATGTTGCAAATATGGATATTGTCGTAGAGTAGAAGGATAAGGCAACCTTTTTTGAACGTTGCAAAAAACTCTTTCGCAACGTTTTTTGAACGAACGTTGCAAAAACCCTTTAGCAATATTTTTTTGAATGTTGCTAATAAATTTTTTCAGCGTTTTTTAAATGTTGCTAATAACCTTTTTGCAACATTTGTTGAATGTTAATAACCTTTTTGTAACATTTTTTGAATGTTGCTATTTTGCAACATTTTCTAAATGTTACTAATAACTTTTTTGCAATGTTTTTCGAGTGTTGCTGATAACTTTTTAGCAACATTGTTTCAAAGTTGTCGTAGGTTTTTTTTACAGGAATTTATGTAAATTAAGTGGCAAAATTAAAAATGACTCTTTGTGAACAAATTTTTGAATTACATAAAAATTGATAATTTCATTACAAATTTTTGAATCCGTACATTTGATACACCACCACCTAAATAAAAAGGAGCTTCAAAATGAAACAAAATAGGAATAAAATTTTGGTACTGCTTAGGCACGAAGAGCTTATTACCACACTTGCAACACCAAGCTTCTGGATAATACTCTAATGAGAGCTCTCAATGATACTGGCAATCCTCTTTGCTTGATGAACTTTGGCATTTCCTCCTTGTAGTCTAGCTGAGTTCTTAGCCACCATCATTGTGCCTGAAATCGACTTATTTATCTATCATCAGAGACATAGGTAAAAAGAAAGAACGGCATCACCAATTACCCAAAAAAAAAAAAAGAAGGTAAAAGAAAAAACCAGAAAAAGAAATCCAACAAGTATTTTATTTGCTTCAAACTAACATCCTAACATCAGTTCTTACACCTATCTAATGACTGTAGTACTCTCTGCTCACTACTCTAGTTAAAAAAAGTAGGAAGAATGAAGAAGGAAAACTTACAGCTGCTAACCTCTCACTGTGAATATCACTTACAAACTGAAAATCACATGATAGAAGAGTTAAGAAAACATGAACAATTTCGCAGTTCAGAAAAATAATTTGCATCGTGTGATGTGAGAATAGCATAAGCAACCCACCAACACATAAAATTTATTAAGCTCAACAAACTCTTTCTACAAAGTAAGCAGAGAAAACACTTGCCGACTTTTTTGTAAGTCTTGATCTCATCTCCACCATATCCAGGAAGTGCCATATTCCAGTTTCTTTCTGAATCAAAGTATCAAACAGACATTTGAGCTCTGAATATTTTCACCACTTAACAAAAAAGCAAACTCCTAGAAACTAACCAAGATTTAGCAGAATGTCCTTGGCTTCTAAGGTAGTGGACATTCGATGCTTGGCCAATGAACAACCACATGTTGTAATCTGGTGAAGTAATATTTGAAATAGAAAAGCTCGTTAATGCAACTTTGCCATGCATTTAAGTCATAATGGACTTTTATAATTTAAAAATGAATAAAATTTAATACTAAATATAAATGACAATTGCATATAACTAAGAAACAAGAGTAGTTTATGTTGTGTGTTGTCATACTTGGCCAATCTACCTGGGCCAATGGCCCCCTCAAACCGAACCACGTGGCACTCCAACCGAGGTGGCATAGCTTGCCGAGGTGGACTATGGCCGCAGCCCTTCAAACCGAAGTCTACTAGTGGAGGCCCCTTTTACCGAGGCCTGTGAATGTACCCGAGGTCCACATGCCGAGGCCTATGACCCGAAGCCATAATGCCGAAGCTGGTTGAAGAGAGCTGTAGCCCTCAAGTGGAAGTATTGTATGAAATGGCCGAAGCCCCGAAGCTAATGTAATGGCCTCCGAACCATAAGGGAGCATCCTCCATGGTCACTTCTCCCAAGAGATCGCCTACACAAAGATCTTATTCGAATGATTGATGGAACGTTTGTCATAAGCATAAAGGTCAAGTCTTGTCACTAGTATGGAGGCTCTGCACAAGCAATAAATGCGTAGCAAACTAGCAAGTCAAGCCCCCTGCCTAGGATAAGATGTTTGAATCAAAGAAATGAAGCCACGTGCCACCCCATCCAAGGGCTCCCATTTCGCATGTATCACTATAAATACTTTCATTTTGTAACATCAAAGTACTAATGCAAGAATCAATACAAAGAACTACACTTTACTCAACTCTCTTTCTCTCTCATTTACTTGCAATATACAAATCCAGTTTACACATACTTAAATATACATTTACGAACACCGGTTGGTAATTATTGTACAATCGAATCACGAACAACCCGCCGAATTTTGAACGTCACTGTCCCGCGTCGTTGGGCTACTCCCACGCCCTTTGAACCGCTCGTTTTAGACCGTTCACGTGTCTTAGCGTGTTGGACATTCGCCCACGTGTGCGCGGGTGGGACCGGCATCTGTTGGCAACAAATTTTGGGGTCAACAGATTGGCGCCGTCTGTGGGAAACCATACCATAATCACGAACAACCCGCCAGATTCCAAACGTCACTATCCCGCGTCGTTGGGCTACTCCCACGCCCTTTGAACCGCTTGTTTTAGACCGCTCACGTGTCTTAACGTGTTGAACATTCGCCCACTTGTGCACGGGTGGAACCGGCATCTGTTGGCAACAAATTTTAGGGTCAACAGATTGGCGCCGTCTGTGGGAAACCATACCATAACCATGAGCAACCTTGTGGCAAAAGCCTACTGAAAGGACATTTGGGCAACCCCCCTTGAAAAAGGATTTGTTCTTGGAAAAGAACATGAGGAAGCCCCATTACTTAGCGAAATCTGAAATCTGACAAAAGAAAATGAGCTCCAATGAAGATACTCCCCCCAGGAGGGTAAGAGAAAACACGAACGTGCCTTCTCAGCCCGCTGCCCCGGCAGCCCGACAGAGACTCCACCACCACCAAAGAAGAGGTGGGATGCGTGCGACGGCACGATTATCAAGAGAAATGGCCACCATGGCAGCCAACATGAGGGATATTGCTAGCTAAAATTTGGCTATGAGGGAGCTTATGGCCCAAATGCAGAGCCAGGGAGGCTTCCCCATTCCTCCATATGCCCCCCAAGGGCACTACTAGCAAGAGGATGAAGTCCAAAGTCATAGAGTTGCTACGCCAGACTATGGCCGAGGTGGAAGCTCATTTGAAAGGGAAGTGGAAGTTGATGTTTCCTCCAACTACGCTTCTAGCCGACCAACCAAGGTCCAAATGAGGCATGATAATTTTCCACCTCCGTATGAGCAAGATCTAAGACATAGGAGGGCAGGAAGTGTTTTTGACAGAATCAGCCCCGCCGAACCAAGGCTAAGGCAACAACAGGCTCAACAGCCTTGGACAAGGCCGCCTCCTCCACCTACAATGCCCCAGCAGGCGAAAAGAAGGCAAGAAAATGCCCCCCGTGTTGCTCCACCGAGAAATAGGAAGCAGAGGAGAGAGGAAGAGGCTAGGGATCTCCCCGGGATCTCTCACCAACAACCGGAGCATGAGGCTGATGAGTACGACTCTGATGAACAGCAGAGGTCCTGCGACTTGGACGATGACGATGAGAACCTGCCATTCTCAAGGAACTAAGGAATGCCCAGGTCCTGAGCCATTATGTTATGCCAAAAATACCAAAGTATGACGAAAGAGGCGACCCGAAGAAGCATCTGAATGCTTATAAAACTCACATGAGCCTAAGGGGCGCCACCCCAGCCGTGAAGTGCAGAGCCTTCCATTTAACGCTTAGTGCAGCGATTGAAATTTGGTATAACAGATTGTCATCTGGGAGCATCAGAAGCTAGCCCGAATTCAAGACAACAATCTTGAAAAGGTTCACAGTGAGCAAAGAAGGAGAAGCCCCCATCCAACGTCTCTAGGACATGAGGCAAGCACATGGGGAGTCCCTAAAGAGCTTCTTATCACGCTTCACCGATGAGATGACGTACTGCGTACA